AAAGGAAACTACGACGGGATTTCAAATTGCGTCGGCGAAATTCAAGCGCGCTCCAAATATCTCTAGATCCTTTTTTTTTCACACCCGACCAAGTATGTAGTAAAATAATTAAGAAAAAAGAAAAAAAAGCATAACTTTTTTCCTGTAAATTCCTTAAATCATTTTACACACCAGCACAGGAATAGACTCGATGCTATATGATATCTGATCCTTCCGTTTTCATTTTCATTTTCGTTTGATCATTTTTAAACGGTTGGAGGCTGAAGTTTAACACAAAATAATTGTAGATATACATGATGAAAGTATAATTTTTAAAAAATTACGATAATAACACTTACAGTTACAGCGTATCAAACTCGTGAGGAAATACTGCTTAAACATTACGCTTCTGCTGAAATAGATTATATTTCGAAAAATCTATTTGTGCCGTTGTAAGACTGGTAAGCAAAAACAAATTGTCAAGAAACAAATAATTCCTTGTGTGAACACATCTGTCGTCGTCTTCGTATTATCATCATGCCTAGACAAAAACGGGATCAGTTTTCCACTTCGATGTTTGTTTCCTTTCTCCAGAGCTTTGTTTCAAGATTCACAAAGCGACGCCTAATATGCCACAAGTACAGACATCGATCTTTCTAGCTAGCGAAATCACTTATATGGGCAACGCACCCGAGATCTATCCATTTAAGTGTTTGAATAAAATGCTCCAGTTAGATTTTATCAGTGGACTTCTGAGAAAAGAAAGTGAGAGCTGGTGTAATTTTCGATTATTTTTCTCATTTTAAAAGAGGTGATTGGTATTAAAACAGGCCCATTTCGATACAGAAAACATGTAATTTAAGCTTCTAGCAACCTTACAATCTAGTAGGCAATCTTTCATCCACCCCTGTGGACTTTCTCGAGCGAGTGATTTTTCACACAACTTATTGTGGCTTTCCTCGAATCGTCGGGTCATCGTGTCCGGTCGGGCGGTTGCGTTACACGAACTTTCGTGAAACGAAAACAGGAGTTAAAGACACATATTAGTCTGCTCTCATAGGGAATTCGATACCGTACAGTTGTTTACCCTATAACAGGTGTTGTCTGAGAATCTAAAGTGAGAAACTGGTGTAATTCTCGATTACTTTGTTTCTCATTTTAAAAGAGGTGATCGATATAAAACAGGCCCATTTTCGACACATTAAACATGTAATTTAAGCTTCTAGCAACCTTACAATCTAGTAGGCAATCTTTCATCCACTCCTGTGGACTTTCTCGAGCCGAGTGATTTTTCACATAATTTCGTGTGGCTTACCTCGAATCGTCGGGTCATCGTGTCCAGTCGGGTGGTTGCGTTACACGAACTTTCGTGAAACGAAAACAGGAGTTAAAGACACATAGTAGTCAGCTCTCATGGGGAATGCGATACCGTTCAGGTGTTTACCTTATATAACAGGTGTTGTCAATCACCAGGATTAGCTTTCTGTTTTATGACCAAAATGCCTTATGTAATGCTTTGTATTTCCTCATCCATTCCTCTACAAGGTAAAGTCATTATCTCACTTTTTCCTCTCACCCGAAGACTCTCCGAGAGACGAAGGGGTATTTCTTTCTTGATGGACCTACGGGTTCGCTGTGTGCAGACTTATAAACACATTAATTGTATTTCCACCAAGTCTGGTGTCAGCGAATTATGGCCTTCTGCACATGGAAACTGACGAACCACTCCCTTTAATGTTTAAGGACGCGACCTTTTGTAGATTTGTTGTAGAATTTTTACAAAGTGTCGGGTAAATTAAACTGGAGAGGGGTTAATTTCACAAACATTAACCCGAAATTTCGTGAATAAAGGGGCATATCAATGGTTCGAAGTAAGCCATTCCTTGCTGACTGCTGCCTCGAAATCACTGGAGCGAAAATTGATGACCGTAAATATTAACGGTGAAGAATTTAAATTATGTGTTAGACCCATTTTTTTTGTCATAAAAGATGTTTATAGTATAATTATGTAAACAGACAATTTACTGAACATTACACGTTATTAGTTATCGTACTATCCTATACTTGTTTTATTGTATGTATATTTCCCATGAGTAGTGCCCCAACGGAGTTATTGTTAGTGTCAAAGTAAATAGTGAGACACGACGGCTTAGTGGTAGAGCAGTGGTTTCGTAACCGTGAGGTCCCGGGTTTGAAACCAATTCAACGTGCTATTGGTCTTTGGTAAGGCATTAATACTGGAGAGGTCTTAAATCTATCGGTCCTTTGGTTGCCTAATTACAAGCATTCGCATACTGTCTTATCAGTCAGGTAAAAAAAAAAAAAAAAAAAAAACCTTTTAATATTGTGTCATTTTGGAACAAGCTACCTTTATTCCTACTATACATCTATCTAATAATCATATATCTATTAATCTATCTATTGATCTTTCTATCTTTTTGTTTTCTCTCTCTCTCTCTCCCTCCTCACCCTCTTTTTCTTTTTCTCTCCTCCCCTTCTATCCGCAAGATGTTGTATTTTGTTTCATTTCGTCTTTTACATCTCCGTCTAGTGTTTTTGCATTCTGTTTTTCTGCATAGCAAGTCCGGAATTCAATTCAGTAATCTACACGCAACAAATTGGTTCAATTTAAAGAAGGCGGAAACGGGCGCTATTTGAAGACATTTTTAGTTGTTATGCATGCTCCTGGCTGAACCTTATTTGAACTATAGGGCAACTTCTGTAGATACGAAGTGAAGGTAGTCATATTTTCTGGAATGACTTCTAGATGGTTATAGATGGCAGTTTAATGAAGTCAAATTTGGAGCCCATTCAATTCCTTGCAATTCAGCCATGCTTCTTATAATGGCTAACATAATTAATTAAAATTGATGCCTATGTCGCTATGTACATACAGGAAGGCCGGTGGACCATTCCAATATGACTTTAAAATAATAGGAAAATGACATTTAAACATACAATTCTATAAAGTCCTGAGCAGACCCCTCCTCTTTCAGTCTCTGGCTGTGTGACATACAAAGCCTTTGGGTCGCACCAGACTATGATAATCATTAATAATATGTACCCACTCTGTTTCACAGGGTTTGTTAATATCATTATTATCATTATCAATTAATTAATCAACATATTGTAGTTATTCGGGGACCCCGACGAAGAACAGATTGATTTTGTCGGTTGATCTGAAGCGGGTGATCCCTCGGTCTTTATTTTAGTTATAATGTTTCATTTTTCTTAAATAGTCCTTACAAAATATTTAGTGTTTGATTATTTATGTGTTATGATGTTTGCATTTCATATTATGTGATCGTAAATAAAACCAAAGTAAACCAGCCGGCATAGTCTCTTATTTCAGACGCTCTGATACACACTACGAGTGACTAGGTTTTGTGTCTGCAAAGTATCTCTGCCCTTCGGTAACAACGTCATATAAGGAATTATTTGCTTGAAAAACTATTTATCCAGGTGGAAAGTTTATAAGTTCAGTGAACAGTTATACAAATAAGGGGATAAATATCGGGTGAAAAGTTTAGCAAGATTATTTTAATGTTCCTTGTCAAAAGTTATTGTAGTCATAAACGCCAATCTGGCGCCGAAAAGTATGAAAAGCTGGTATAAACCTAACCATGGCCCTGGCATGATTTGCTCTAGGCTTTATTTTGTCAAAGATACAGGCTTAGGGTTTGCTTTGCAATTGGGTTTTAAGTTAGACTAAGGATTAGTATTATTTGTGGTGTTCGGTTCAGTGTGTAAGTCAGAAACGTTGTTCGAATACTTATTATGGATTTCGACTACGGAGCAATTGTCCCGTGGGGCTTGTGTCACAGAAACTAAATGAATATTAATTGTCATAAATATATGATATGTATTCATTACACAGGACTTTGGAATCGTCTTCCATTTACAATAGAAACGGTCATATTTTAACCCGTTTACTACTGAATTTCCTTAGTCTCATAGGTTTAATACAGGGGCCACCAGGTTCCAGGAGGTAACGGGTTAAACCGAATACAGACACATTAATTTATTCTCCACAGTACCAGGACAATATTTTATTGCGGAAACCGTGCTTTATTACATTTCATCTTCGTGACATTTCCTTCTAATACATTTGATTTATGCAAGGCGCCTCAAAAATGGAAACGAGGGACGGATGAAACTGATCAGTAGCAATGCGAAAGTTTAAAATCGCAAGTAGATTCACTGGTACCAAACCTCGATTCTTGGAATATATACATTTAGTTCCAGCTTTGCCTGTCACGTTTCCTTTTTCGTCTGGCAAAGCATCCTTCGGTTAAGATCTACAACAACTCAAACTTCTTCATGCATTTAGCAGAATGAAAACGGGAGTATAAAAGCACCACACTACCAATATTTTGACATATTCTTGTGAAGGGTTGATGCCGAGTGGCTTACATGCAGATATGAAGCAAGTGAATCGGTTTTGTCCGACCTGAAGTAAACTGTTATACTGTGCTTGAAGTCTCTTCCAGTAGTGTCCTGATTGCTACATGGTGTTCATTTTGCAGTTTGCTTTATTCCGTTAACTCAACCGTGATCATTTGTCAACGGATTGTCAGCCTGATATTAGGTAATATATATTGAACATTTTCTCTTCCGAATCAACCCTCACATCCTTCCATTTAGCCTTATTATTACCACTCTTTTGTTACCGACTACTCAGACTCTCTTCATCTCGCTCCTTTTATTTTTCTCCCGACATGGTTATTTGTTCCCTGACACTGTAATTCTCGTGTTGCGTACGTACGTTCGAGGAACGAGAAATTCAATGCAGTCTTTATTTGTAAGACTGTGTTTGTTTGTTCCCTCGTTCAACTTTTACTTTTCAAAAGCCTCCCTATAATCTGTCATTTTGTGGTCAGTGCTCTCAACAATTGAAAAGGGTATGTAAATTGTAACTAACGATTACAATCAAACACGTTTATTTTTAAATCTCGACATGCAATTAGATCGTTGCAATGGAATCACAATTATTTCTTCTTTTCTTTTTTCATCCCATACAGAATAGTTGAAAGGCACCTCGTCCTGACGGCCTTCCTGTCACAATGGCATCATTAAATGGAGATAACTTGACCAGTATACCTATGATACCAAGCCCTACCACTGTCTTAACTACCGCCAACCCGGACCAACAGGGAGGAGGCGGAGGGGCTGTACTCAACGAACTGTACCTCAAGATCATATACGCCCTTATCGGTCTACTTGGGATAGTGGGAAACGGCATCGTTTGTCTTGTGTTCACCATCAAACGACGGCAGTTTCAGTCCATTACGAATTATCTTATATTGAACCAGTCGGTTATAGATCTCTTAGACTCCATATTTTTTATTCTTATACACTATGCATCTCCGAATGGTCCCATCTCGGAGACAGCAAATATACCGAGCCGTGGCCTTGCCGAGTTCTTCTGTCGGATGTGGGACTCGGAGTATCCCCTGTGGGCGCTCTACATCGCGTCCACAGCGAATCTAGTGATCCTTTCCTTGGAGCGCTACTTTGCAACGTGCCGTCCTGTTATTCACCGGAACTTCTTCACCGTCCGACGAGCCAAGTGGGCGATGCTGTGCGTGTGGGTTTACGGTGCCGTCTATCAGCTCTATTGGCCTCTGGTGCAGACCTTCTCCGCCGACTGGAGATGCCATCCCAACTGGCCCAATCGCGTCGTCCAGATGTTCATGGGTGTTCTGCTCTTTTCGCTGGAGTACCTGATCCCGCTCATCATCATGACTTGTTCTTACGTTAGCATTATACTCATGTTACGTAACCGCACCAAGAGTCATGGAAAGGTGCAGGTCAACGCGTTCCAACGAGCAAAGCGGAACGTCACGACAACTCTGTGCATCGTATTCGTAAGCTACGTCGTTTGTTGGACACCTACAGAGCTATCCTACCTCGCCTATAACCTAGGACATGACTACAACTTTGAGAGTGCGGTCCATGACGTATTGAAGGGTTTAGTCGCCTGCAATCTCTGTGTCAATCCATTCATTTATGCGTTCAAGTACGAGCATTTTCAGTCCGAGTTAAAGAAAATCTTCTGTTCGATGTGTAACGCGGGGAATCGTATAAGTACTGAGTCTCGTGGAACTGTTCTAAGCCCAGCGAACAACTCTTCGAATAACACACCTTGACATGAACTCCACTTTTATACCCATGTTTGTATGATACGAAGTCACTATATTTTGCGCATCTCCAACATTCTCAACAATATCATTTTTCATTTGAGAAAGTATTGCTCTTTCGGCGGAATTGATTGAAGTCTAGGTCTCATGGGAAATCTTGCTTATTCTGACAAAATGAAACGCAGTGAAGAGCAGAATATATTAAAAAGTGTATATAGCTGACTTATTTTCCAGCACCACCAAATATATATTTTCGCAAATGCCTGATGATAGTGACTATGCATCGACTTTTTATCATAATGGTATCACCATAATGGTATCATTTTCTGATAACGCGATCGCGGCTACTTTCGGAAAATCAATCAAAGGCAATTTAGTTGGAATTGCATGCAGTCTGTTAAGATGTTCGAACATTGAATCGAAATTATAATTGGGAATTGAAATGGCCTTTTGAGTTGATTTTTTTTTGGAGAAAGTGTTACCGATCGTATTTAAAGATAAACTTGAGTTCTGGTAAAAACAATTAAAGGAAAATTTCACAGAATCAAACGAAACTAACACTGAATGTTCAAGATTACAAATAAATGTCATTAGCCAAACAAATTTGGTAGAAAATGTATAATGGCTGAGTTATGAGCATAGAAAGATAAGGAAATCAAGGTGTCGGGCCCCGACACCATTTGTGTAGTCCCATATACATCTTTCTGTGTACAGTGCTTGTTACTTTACCAAGACTGGGCCAAATTTATTAAGATTTTGATGACTCCGGAACCTTGCAGTACACACCAATACTTGCATGCTACATGATCAACTTTTTCTGATCCATTCCACACCTTTTCTTTCACAATGCAATCGCAAGACCAGAACTCAACTTTACCTTTAATTACTTCCAAAGGCATCGTATTTTACTTTTTTATATGATGAGTGAATAATTTGTAATTACTTTAGCTTCTGATTCATGACACCCTTATACGTTAAAGATACTATGTCCCTTTTGTAACCAACATCAAATTATGTAAAAACTTTGCAGGAATTATGAATATGTCATGTATGTCCTATCTGTGAAATTTAAACGTAAGTAGTGTCATAATATTCAGATTGTGCAAGGAAACCCGTTTACTTGCTAGACTTCACTATCAAACACTATTGACTGGCTTTTTTCTTCTTTGGTAATAACATACACAAAATGAGCTGTAAATGGTACATGACCATTTGTCTACATCAATAACCCACTTCTTGTAATGGCCAAAATTAAACTGATTGAATCTTCGTGCAGCATAAAACATACGACCATTCGGTCCAATGGTCTGAAAATCAGACTATTACTTATACTGGCTCTATAGCTCTTAAGTCGATTCGACAATTCAATTAATAGTCGTTATTTTCACACTTCAAGACATTTTCTACCCCCCCCCCCTTTTTTTTTTAAAGGGAAGTTCTAAATTAGTATTATCTTTCAAATGCCGTTGGAATTTAACTTTTCATTTTGTTGGCCTTCAAAAGGGACATACTACCAGTTTTTTAAATATTTGGTGATGGTAATTGCTTCCTAACGTTTCTGTAATTGAATTGTAAAACGAGCAAAGTTCTGACACTTGCTGGGAACTAAAAGAATCTATCTGTTTTTGTAAGCCAATTGCCCCCCCCCCCCCCCCCCCCCCCCCAATGCTAGCAGTTACCTGCGTGAATAGAGACAACATGCTGTCTTCACCAGTGGCCTGTTTTGTTCCAATAGATATTCTCAAAGTAGCGTGGATTTAACCGGATTTGTATTTGTTGGAAAGAAGAGCTGGATTTTCTGCATCTTTGATTGTCCCTGTTGTTGATGTGGGTGTGTGTGTGCGTGCGTTTGTGTGTGTGGGGGTGTGTGCGTGCGCTTGTGTGTATGTTTATCAAGGCTATTACGTAGTTGACACTTCATGTGATTTGATATTTTGTAATCGGTTCATTTACCGTATACTATTAATTCATGTTTTACAGCAGTATGAACGAACTTTCTCTAAAACCGTAAATTTCGGGAAACGTAGGTGGATGCAAATTTTTACTTGATGCTGTACAAAATATTTCAGCTTCCCCACAAACTGCGACTGAATACAAGTGTTACATCAAAAGTGACGGTAGATCAATTACTACGCGATGTCAATCTTGTCAATTTTTGTCATTTGGGTTCATATTCTTCTTCACAACTGTATTGGAAGTATTGCCAAGTGCGAGTCATTAAATCCTTTCATTTCTACTGTGATATCTTTAAAGTTATAAGATAATTTCATGAGATTTCTTAATCTTTTGTATGTGCAGACGTGCATGCGTGAGTGTGTATGTGCGTGTGTGCGTGTTTCTTTTTTCTCTTTCTTCTCGTTCTTGTTCTTCTCGTTGTTCTTTTCCTTGGTCTCGTCTTTTTTCCTCCCCTCCTCCTCTTTCTTTGTATTCTTTTTCTTTTTCTCCTCCCTCTCATACATCTATTTTTTTTTTCTTTCTAACTATTGGGTGCATGAGAAGTATGACATGATAAAACTATATACTGCCAAAAAAAGTGAATATCCTATTTCCACCTTCAAAATGTCACCAAATGAAGAATTTTTAGTGACTATAAATAAATGTTAATCAATTTATTGATTTAGGTATATCTTTTAATGTCAAACAAACATGATTGGGCGTCAACTTCGTTTTGAAGTATGCGAATGTGACCATGCCATACATATAATGTATACTCACTTACTAATTAATTTCTATAAGCAAATACAATTGCCCTTAATTTGAGTTCGCTACAATTGTTTTGAAGCGGCTGTTATGGATATTTGAGATGTGACGTTAAAGAATTCCTGTCGATTAAGAAATATACCGACCAAAAAAATTACAATTTCTATTTAAATAAAAAAAAAAAATCATCCCCTTCCTCACAAGTTAATTGCGTTATAGGTAATGGATATGAAAGCATAAACATGATACTGACTAGATGTGTGACATATGAGTAAATTGAGCACTGTTAAAATGATGTTACACTTTGAAAAGGTGAAGTGTTGGGAATGTTGCAATGTATAAAAGATTTCTAATGAATAAAGTATTTTCAAATATCACCCATGAAAATAAACGTGTCCTTGTTTGTTTTTGTTTTTTTAGAACTCGATTTGATAAAGTTTCCCTGTAATGCCCTTCCCCCCCCTTTTTTTTTTATTAAGGGGGAGGGCACAACCATTCATTCTTTATGCAAGAAATCCCGTGGCATACCTTAAAAGTAAAAAACAGAGATTTTTTGTAAATTTCATTGTTTGTTTGCGCTGTGAAGACCGCCATACACAATTGTATATATCTCCTATTACTTTCGGCTACTATCCATTAGTATTAACACATGATCGCAATTACTTTTGAAAAATGAATTTATGACTATTTCAAAGAAAAATCAGTCGTATTTCATGTTATTTTATCGAATTCGCGAAAATTGCAATGAAATATAAAACGTAATCCCAACATGATTTATATTAAAACATACCAAAGGAAATTGAACCTGCCCCCCCCCCCCCCACTTGACTTTAGTATAGTAGTTGCGAGCGTGTTTCACGATAATTTCATTTATTCTGCAAAAGAACAGCTTTTTACACCTTTGCCTGTAATGTGCGTTTTGCAAATATCTTTAGATTAATTTAGTTTGTCAACAAAGACTCTATTTGATGGAAATACAACTTTTTTATCAATAGCAAGCTGAATGAAGGTAGAATACAAATATAAAGGAATATAGATTATTTTTCCTTTCAGTATTGCACAGCAACAATGTATGCACCCCTCCAAATTACGGGTCAACAGGGATCAAATTTGCCGCAGTTCCGGTCACGACATAACCTGTTTACCCGATCGGCACTCGCTCATAATTATAACTGACGTGTGAGCCGTGCTTAATTAATGCAAAGTCATTGTGAATATGCGTACTCCACATGATGTCATCAATTCGATAGCTAGTTGGTTCGCCAACTGCTGATTTTCAAAACTTTAGATTTCGGTTTTCAGAGAGCTGTTATTCCTCAGGTAGACACTAAATTGATTTTATTGTAATCTATGGCTTTTAAGCTTTTGATAGTTGTATATACTTCATCCATTTCATTTTTCTCTTCAGATTAGGTATTCAACAAATAGAAGATGATTAAAGGGCAAGTCCACTCCAAAATAACTTCCTTTCAATACATGCAGAAAAATTAATCAAAAATAAACTGAAAATCGGATTACTGATAAGAAAGTTATGAACTTTTAATAACATGAATTTTTTTAAATCACAAGACAAATGGCAACTCACTAATGTGTCTGTGACGTCATTGCCTCACTATCCACTAATTATTGTTTTCTTTATATTGATAATATACATTTCCAATTTTCCCCCTAAAAATCTTATATCTTCACACCAGCATCCAAGTTATATATATATATATATATATATATATATATATATATATATATTGATAGTAATTTGTTTGAGTCTGAATGCACTAATATAGAGTAATTATTTTGAGTTAAATCATGCCAAATGTGAATTAAACTATTTATATAACCATCAAAGATTATGAATATACAAAATTCAGAAAATAGTATGAATTCTTTAACGTTCATTACAGATTTTTGGAAATGTTATGAACGCAATATGATACAAATCATATAACCCGGGGCCCCGGGCACAAGCATGGGGAAATCAAATTTTTGGGGGACAAAAAGGGCAATTGATGGGATATAAATATAAAAAGCACTTGATAAATAGTGAGGCAATGACGTCACAAACTAATAGCCAAATTGGCAACTTGTGTAGTGATTTTCTTCCTTATTGACTTCCTTATTAGTTATCCGATTCTACTCGCATTTGTTTGGCTCTGTTTCTTTTGTTCTTCTGCATCTTTTAAAAGCAAATTATTTTGGAGTGGACTTAGCCTTTAAATTTGAATCATGGAGTAGTTTCTCTTATTCTAATTTTTTCAATGAGGCTTCATGTCAGAAGATTGCCGAAATTTCCTTCTCAGGGCCTCAGGCTGTATCATAATTCCCAAGCAAAACATGCTCCAAACAATGACACGGAATGAAACCTTTTAGGTTGATTACTTCATTCAGCAAAAAAATACACGTCTTTTCCGATCACTGTCTTCCGTTCTTACATGTCAGTCCTTCGCATTTGGCTTTCTCTTACGCCCATTGCGCATCAATGAAAATAAAGGTAAGCCTGATTTGGTTTCGCCTGTCATGATTGTGATAGAAAGCTGCAAAACCACCTCGCAATCCATCCCCGCAATCCATAACTTCAACACGAATAATAGCAAAGTCCAGGTTTGATCTACCACGATCTGAAGGGTGGTCACATATCGATATCTTTGAGCTTTTAATGCATTAAAGAAAACGCATACGTCTGCATATGCTTCATTTTTGTTTCATTAAAGGCTTAAAGGTACTATGTCCCATTTGCAGGCCAAAAAATGAACAGATTAAATTCCAACGGCATTTGAAAGTTAATACTAATTTAGAACTTCCCTTGACACGAAAGGGCTTGAAAATTTCTTTTAGTGGAAAAATAAC